GCCGATGTGCCTCATCGGGGTCTGCTATTACTGGCTCCCTCCGCTGATTTCCCAGAGAAGCACAGCGCTAACTCGGGGAGAGGTCTGAGACTAGCGGCTCGGCTGCTGTGAACCTCAGCAGGCCACTTCTGTGACACCAATTTTAATGAACTGCCTTCGCTTCCCATTTAATTCACAAGTTTCGTAAAGCCTCCCTAGAAAGCCTTCTCATCATCACCTCGCTGAGACAAGCTAGTAATTTTCCTTCTCAAGCCCCCAAATTCATTCCCCAGAAGCATCATGCAGAGATCTTCAGGCAGTGAGAAAATGGAAAACATACATTTCTTCACCGTCTGAAGTGTGTTTAGTTTCAAAAAGCAAAATACAAAGCGTCTGAAGGAGAGTCCTGATTCTGTCTACTTGATCTTTAAAATCACCGCAGAAGGGACGAAGGCAAACACCTGGAAGGTGTACGAAGGTCAGCGCTGCTGAGATCAGCCCGTTAATTCACCGAGGCCTTTCTCGCCGCTCCTCTGACTGGTTTTTGTGGTTGAAACAGCGTCTTGGCGACTTAGGCCCTCGCAGCAGGCTTCCCAGAGACTGACTTCATTCCAAGTGAGCGGTTCTAAAAAGTCGCCCCGTTTAACCTCCTGGAGGCTTCATTTCCTCACGTGCAAAACTAGAGCCCTCACGCCCCCATCCCCATCACAGTCGTCGTGAGCATTAAGCCAGTGAGTGAACCTATGGGATGCTCTGCACGGGGTGGGAGGGCATCCTAACAACAGCGACTTTCTCTGAGAGGTTACTGTCAAAGCAGCTCTGGCTGAGGAAGGCTTTTAAAAAGACTAATAAGTTTTCCCCAAACCCAATCGGGCCAGGAACCCTGAGGGACCCTGCTTCTCGTGGGGCACACGTGGTCCCAAGCCGCCCTTTCGGGTCTTATCGGATCTGCGTGCCCTGAGCTGGAGTCTTCCGTCTACCGTGCAGGGGACTTTCTAAAGACAACCCCATTTCTGCTCATCTCTCGGCAGCGGCAGCAGCAACCTTGGCCCAAGCTTCACTGAGCCAGGTGCCTCCTCAGAGTGGGAACTCTGATAATTCCATGTATCATTTAAAGCTCCTCCTCCTCTAGCCCGACTGTCTCAACAGGAAGAGGCCGCTCCCGCCCCAGGGCCCCCAGCGCGATGCGAGTCAGTGAACTGCCATCACCAGCAGGGGGAGCAGCGGCCTCTCCACCTGCCAAGGTCTCGGAGGTTAAACGTTACTCAAGTGTTCAAGGTGACTTCCGAGCCCAAGTCCCACCTTGCTCGTTTTTTTTTCGTTTTTTTTCTTTTAATCAAGAATTTCACAAACCACCCACAGTCAGAAACTTGTAATTGGGCCAGTTCTTTGGAGAAGGAACTGAAATTGACAAAAGGCATATTCTATTTTGGTGTGGATTCTGAGTTTGCAAATATAAAGATTTTTGTGTGCAAAAAATATAGGCACCATTTGAAAAAAGTTAAGCTACTTACATATGGTACATATGCTATATATACACACACACACAGCTTGTTTTCAAATTAATCTGAACGGCTATTTAGCTCTGAGCTATCACCTCATTCCGTTATATCTGACTCGACACAGCCTGCAAGTCCAGTACCGGTATCTTCCGATAGCAATTCTGTTCCTGGGATTTCTTTGAAAGCTTTTAGGTTTTCACGGATCACTAGAGGTTCTTCATTTTCCCCCCTTCTGTGTTATGTAGGTATAAGCCGTCTCTCTAGGCATAAACTGTCCACTGGTAAAAAATCAATTTTGATTTTATCAGTATTTATTAGCACTGGTGCCAGCAGTTTAGAAGACTAGAGAAGGAAAACATGCAAACTAGGAGGAGAAAAAAAATTAAAGCCGGGTCCTCATACCTACAAATAACATAGCCTGCTGGTCTTTCAGGTATTTTGTAAGGTGTCGAGGGAGCTTAAATTACCAATTTTTAAACTCAATCAATAAAAATTGACAGGACTCTGTTACTGCTTGCATCTCTCCCGTATCTGCGAGCCCGGTGGCGGGTATCTCTAAAACAAGGGCACCACTCTCAGAGGTGCCGTGAGCCAGTAACCAGGGCAGCAGGCACCGGAGCAGCCTGACTGCGCCCGCCCAGGCTCCCTTCCCGGCCAGCACCCTAACCAGCTTCAGCCTGGCTCGCTCTAAGCCAGTTTATTCCAGTGACTTGACTCTCACCCTCTCAGGACAGAACAGACCACGGGGCAGGACCGCACATCCATCTACCTGCTTTACTCTCATTTTCCAGAAAAGACACCCAAAATGTGCACGCATGGGACTTCCCTGGTGGCGCAGTGATTAAGAATCCGCCTGCCAATGCAGGGGACACGGGTTCGAGCCCTGGTCCGGGAAGATTCCCACATGCCGTGGAGCAACTAAACCCCTGCGCCACAACTACTGAGCCCACGAGCCATTAACTACTGAAGCCCGCGTGCCTGGAGCCCATGCTCTGCAACTAGAGAAGCCACAGCAACGAGAAACAGCACACACACCACAACGAAGAGTAGCCCCTGCTCGCCGCAACTAGAAAGAGCCCGCACGCAGCAACGAAAACCCAAAACGTTCAAAAATAGATAAATAAAATAAATTAAAAAAAAAAAAAAAAAAAAAAAAAAGTGCGTGCTCATCCAGGTTCGAGATCTTGAGCGTTTGTGGCTCTTAAAATGGTCCCTGAGCCAGAGCGGTGCCTGCTCCACACACATTCTCCTACCTGACACACTCTTCACTGGCCAGCGTCACTGGCATGGCGTCCGCTCTGCCCATCACCACCCTGCTCCTCTCCCTGG